TCACAACTGTGACTATGCACCAATCGAGACCCGTCTTTATTGTCCAGTAGACACAATAACTGTTGCTGTGATTGGCCATCAACATGGATACAGCAAACAGTCCATGTGTTTAAAGAGCAACATACAGGTTGACGTTTCTTACTACATTTATACTTATTGTTTCCTGGAAATGATCATTTCAAAGGTTAGTGCAGGACATTTTGTGGCCAGAAGTAACAAACCATTTCTTTGACATCTGGCATATTAGTATAAATATGCATCTTGATGTTGGTCGTTTTGTTTAGGTTGGCTTGGAATTATATTTTCTTTTTTTAACAATTGTTTTCTGTTCTGAAACAGGACTAGGGAAAGCTGTGGAGATGAGCTATTATTAACCAGCTGTGCTGGACTGCAGCTTCCATAGAGCGGGAGAAAAACGGTCTCACCACAAAGGTCCAGGCAGCATGAGGGGACCTGAACTGCAAGCAGTCTGACACAGTGCCCAGCTATCACCTCCACAGCAGGCTGCTACACCTGAGGGTCTACCACAACTAGCAGGCACAACTTCAGGTGCTACACAGCAGGCTTGTGGGGCCACTGAATTGACAAGGGGCCATATCCAGAGGATCCACTACACCCTTTTAAAAGAACCTTCAGGTGAGGTTTAGGCAGGTGAGTTTATGGCCACTGGTTCCAAAAGGGGTGCTGCTCAACACACAGTTCCTCCAGGAAGTTGCGATGTTGCGACTGCAACAATTAACCCAAATTCCACCAATCCCTGTGAATTCAGCACCACTCTGCATTTTTGTCCAGTCATCGCAACTTTGAATTTGACCAATCCAAAAAAGTTGTATATCACCAACCAACTTGTAGTTGTGAAGATGAAGACCATGCAGACATGTGATGCCTCAAATTAGATTTTTAATGAATTATACAAAAAAAATATCTGCAACAATTTTTGCAATTCTCCCGCAGTTTATTTGCAAAAAGATATGCCTAAAAACATCCCAACACGCATTGCAATATCTTGCAAACGCTTCCATGAAATCAGTAATTGTAGGCCGCAATAATCCCCCCCCTAAAGTCTGCGAAATCCTGGAAGGACTAAACAAATGAATTGAAAAAGTTCTTCAGGGGCAAAAGGAGAACCAGAAAGAACCAGACATGTGGCTGGCCCTGCAGACAGAGGAGAACAAACTGAAGGCTGCACGGACCCACACACAGAGTGAGCTGCAGAGTCAACAGCTGCAGTGGCAGGAGGAGAGGTCCAGTCCCTCAGAGACCCTCCACCACACCCTGCAGGAGGAGGAGAGGGCTCTGGAGACAAGATTGGATGGTGTGATGGACAGGATTGTCGACATAAAGGAGCGGATGAAGACCCTCTCTAAACAGATATTTCTAATATTTAGTTCACCCCAAGATAGGACGATAACAGGAAGAATGTGGAGCTTCAGTGTCCGTCCTCTTTAAATCCAGCTTTTTATCAGAGATCACTGTAACTCTAACAGCAGGGGCTTTAAGATGAGATGCTTCAATTGTTTTATGAATTTTCTTTTCAACTGAAGAAATTCTTCAGTAGTATCTTTTAAAGGAATTAAACCAACTAATTCTTCCACATTATGCCCGACTGTCACCTACTCTGTTTGAGAGGGCCTTCTCTTGTCCTGTGTAGTAACAGTTTGATACCACCTGGTGGCAACTGTGTTCCGTTCCGTCCTGTGCTGTGTGTGTGTGTGTGTGTGTGTGTGTGTTTAGAGACGGATTCTTTTCTGTATGTTTCATTTTTAATTTTTTTATAAAAACCTCCAACAGAAAACAATGTTGTCGTTAATGTACAGATAATATAGTTACAGGCATAGATTCTGAAAATAATATCTTATCCATCACTGAATTAAAACACATTCAGTATTTCACTAACACTACCTGGAACGTTAAGAAAAGTGTCCCACTTTACATGAAAGCATTATCCCTGTTTGGCTTCCACCTTCAGCAAATATGGGACAATGCTAAAAATACAGCTTCTGAGAAAAACACAGATGATATTGTGCATTTTTGTTTTGAACTGTAATCACAGACAACACCGCTTTAAAGAGCAGCTTGCCGGTATATGGCTTTAAAATTCATGCTTAAAAATTGTGTAATGTGCGCTTCTGGAGAAAGAAGACAGTATCCTACCACAATGGAGTGAAAACTAGAGTTAACGTTAGTTGTTTAGATTGTTTTCACAGTGACCAAAGAGAGCTCCGTAGGTTTGTAGCTAAGCTAACAAGGAAGCTAATGTTAACAAACTTTAGTTTTTACGTCTTGTGGCTATGAAACCCTTCGCAAACATTGTACAGACAATTAGCATGATATAGAGTGAACAATGAGACAGCAAGTAATGTAACTAACGTTAGCTAGGTTGTGCGTTAACAAGCTGTTACTACAGTTGGTGCTACAAAGCTAACATGCAAGATTGTGAGAGAGGAGACAGTTTACCAGCCAGTAATCTGACATTAGCTTATTCACTGAATTTGACAAAAAGTGTATTGGATTAGAATTGCTGACCCCACCTTTAATGTTTCCTGGAAAATTCTCATTTTAAAAGTTAACATTAATGCAGTATTTAATCTGTTTAAACACTGTCTCCTGTTTACATACATACATACATCTTAGCTGTACTATTTGCAAGTTCAAATAAGTAAAGTCAAATGCAAGATACGGCTGATACAAACTCATACCTTTGTGTATTGCTGATACGGGTAAGTATCCATATCCTACTACTACTACTAGTATAGTATACTACTACTTTGGTTTTTGTTTTTGTCCGACATGTGATGTGTACACAGTGTTAGCTATTGTTAGCTAACACCGGTCAATCGACACCTGTGCAGTTCTCTTCACACCACAACTCAGAAACTTTAAGAAATTCTCTCAAAATATTGACTTAGCATCTAAAAGAAATTGAGAAACCGTCTCAATAGTTTGACTTAGCATCTCAAAATAATGTTATAACAAAGTCATTATTTTTTCTCTCTCTCGCTCTTTTTTCGTTGTCAGATTGGCATAAATGGGCTTCCATACCTACATGATGTTGCAGTGAAGGTTAAATAGCCCTTTTTCAGAAGAGCCATTTTGACATGAAATATTAGCGCAAACAGGTGCCAAGCTGATTCTGATTAAGGGTCTGTTCCATTTAGTGTAGCAGAGCCTTTCTAGTGAGCTAGCAAAATAGCAGCACTGAATGGAACAAACCTTAATTAGTATCATAGGTAACACCTGTGTTTACCCTACTATTTCATGGCAAAATGGCTGTGCTGTCACAGCAAGGTCCATAATCTGGGCTTAGAAGGGCGGCCTGTAATTCACACTGTACGTTTTTGACATGATCCGGTCCTATGTCACAGCTTACATAGTGTCACTTCAGGTGGCCACACACTTTGTCCCTGAAACTCAAACAAAAGGCTGAAGTTGAACAATGGGTGTCCAGTCAGCAAGGCGGACGGACAGAGGGAAAATGCCCTGGTCCTGGGTCAGCTCAGGTCGCTCGCGTCCCCGTAAGCAACGGCCTGATTAACGCAAACACTGCGTTCTATGGAGCCGAGACACAATCAGTTTCATGACCTGCACCGGGACTGACCGGGACAGCAGAGGAGCCCCGCAAGACATGGAGGAGTCACCTGCTGAGGACAAACGATTGGACTTTATAGCGGACTAAACTGCTGAGGACCTCTGAAGCGAAAACAGGACAAATGGAAGAAGTGCAAAGGCTGTCCAGCGGAGGACAACAGGCACGGTGCTGCAGCGAGTGTCCTTGGACATGAGCCGAGCAGAGGAGCTGGTGGTGTCTGGACGCGGCGGACCTGGCCCTGCAGCCCGCCGCGCCTTCCGGCCGGCGCAAGAACAAGGCGGTTACTTTGTGAAAGCAGCCAGAAACAGCAGCGCCTGGTCCCGAGACTCCCATGAAGGATAACTTCTGGTTACGGGGACTTGTCTTACGCTCCACTGGATCAGTTTTCTGCTCTAGTTGAGGAGGTACGCAGACCCTAAATGGAAGCTTAAGTCTCCGCCAATGTGACGGAAAAAAAAGCCCCTTGAGTGTAAACATACTCATTATTACAATTATGATCTAGAACACCCTTTCTTAAATCAGAATGACATTCTCAAAATAATGAAGAAAAGTTCCTTTTAACCCTTTACTGTGCAACCTTTCATGTAAATGGAAGCCCATTTTCTGCCAATGTGCCAGAGGAAAAAAGGTTTTTCTGTAAGTCATTCTAATGAGAAACTTTCTGCAAATATTGACTTAACATCTCCAAGTTTTCTTTTTCTTCTGTCTTCTTTTTCTGCGTGTGACAGTTGGCGCGGAAATGAGCCTTCCATAAAGCAGCAAGCAGATGTGTTAATTCATTGTCATACGGTAAGGGCAGGCT